CTTTCTGATCATATCAAAAGATTACCAAGCTCAGGAGCCAAAAATCCTTTTCATGTATGCAATAGAGAGAATGCAAAGGGAAAGGAAGTTGATTCTTGCTGTGGGGAACATGGCCAACAATCCTTGATTACTGTTTGAGCATTTGGGATAACTGCCAGAACTTGGTTATTTACAATGGGGGAATGGTGAGCAGGTAACCTAAAAATGATGAAATAAATGAGTTTCTTTCCTTATCTGTAAAATCATTTCAGCCTTATTCAACAAACTATGGTGAAAATAAACCTCATCGCAGTGTTAAATGCAAACATTTAACACTTTATAAAATGCTTAGAATATATAGGCTACCCTAATATATAACATACATAGGTTACATTATGAAAGATGGTGTGTGTGTGTGTGTGTACGCGCACATGTGAGACAACATTCACTGCCCATCTAATAATTGAAACCTAATACTTTGTCCACGTGATGGTATCTAGAGTAAGCTGTCTTTTACTACCTGAAAAAATAGGTATAATATTAAACAACCTTTCATATAATTTTATTAAAAGTTTCAAAAACAAAAGTAAAAACTAATATAAACTAATATACAGTAAGAAAGAAAAAAGAAAAAGAAATCAAAGAGAGAGCTAAAAGTGCAAAAAAGAAAAAGTACAGTAAAAGAAAAATACAAAAGAAAAAAAAGATACAAAGAAGTGGCTTCCGATCTTCTTTACAGCAGTTATAAGTACAATTATAAATTTACTCTTTCTCTAAAGTTACATCATAACTTTCTTTCTATAATGCATCCTATCTAATAATCAAAACCATAAATCATAAGTTCATTTTTTTTCTGTTTTACGCAAAAAGTCCATAAGGGGTTTCCAGTCAGCAACAACCTTTCAGAAGTACTTTCAAAAGCTGTTATAAGGGTTTCAGACATCAGTGTATGCCACACACTATGAATACTCAAAGAGCATTTCTTAAATATTATAAATACATTATTAAATATTCCCATCAACACTCACTCCTATTTGTTTTTTATGAGCATACTATTTTTTCTTGAAACATCCCTGATAGAGATTTGAGCTGTGAAAAAGATTCAAACTTCACTATTTATTAATCAGATTTATTTACTTGCAAAGATTTAATCCAAAACTCTGTGCAGCTCACAAATCATTCAGGACAAAATATTACAAATTATTAAAACATCATCCATAAACATTCAATAAAAGAACCTAAATACAAAATATAAAACCAGCAGCCACTCCAGTCATAGCACTATGCCCCCCAAAAAATCTGGCAAAAAAGGAGCTCTGTTTAAGATAATAGAGAACTCCCTAAAAGTCAATAGAGAAGGGACCAACATAACCAATCTGGGGTGGCCACTGAGAAGACCCATACTCCATTCCCATCCCAAATCCACAGTATATCTTGTCAGTTTACATGCACAGAATAGGTAGTGTCCATTGAGAGAAGAGGATCCTGCAGGTACAAGGATATAACACTGATATCCTGAATTTTCTCCTCCAACTTTTCCCCATAACACAAAGTTGTTGGGCAGAGGCAGTGATTGGCCCAAAGTCATCCAGTGAGCTTCTGAGAGTGGACTTAACCCTGAGTCAGCTGAATATCAACCCAAAACATGAATCATTACATACTACCACTCGGCTTTAATTTTCAAGTTGCTCTGTCAGTTGTCATCTTCTTTAAAGAGCTCTTCTTGGAAATAAATGTTCATTTATCTGTTAGATAACAAACCTATCTGCAAAAGCTAAGGAGGGTCAGACCTGATTAGTACTTCGATGGGAGACCATTAAGAAATATCAGGGCTATAAGATAGACTGGGAAGTAAAAAAACACCTTAGAAGAAGGTAGTGGCAGTCTATTTCCACCTAGCTGCCAAGAAAATTACATAGATGTGCCATGCCAAGGTCAACCACTTTTTTATTCCTTCATACTGGTCATCTTAAGGAGAGTCCTGGGTATCAAAGCATTAGTAGAGCTTAATTTAAATGTCTGCAACTTTCTCCCATGTTCTATTAGAAGAGCAAAAAGAGACTCATGATTACTTTATCCCCTCCCTTTTTAAATTTTGTTAAACTTTTGCACTTTCTTTGCCATGAATCCTTATGAACTCTTCATCAACTCTTCATAAGGAAGCCTGAGATCTTGAAAGCCTGAAAACAATTATGGGACACTAAGTTGGTCTGATATTATGTGCCATCATGTCATTTTCGACTCCTAGCGATCATCTCTACGATGATCTGTTCCTAACCTAGTCTTTCAGGTCTTCCAACAGTGCACTCATCACCACTGTAACGGAATCCATCCACCCTGCTGCTAGTCATCCTCTTCTTTGCTTTCCTTCCATCTTTCCCAGCATTAGAGCTTTCTCCAGAGAGCTCGGTCTTTGCATAATGTTTTTTAAGTAGGATAATTTGAGCCTGCTCATTTGTGCCTCGAGTGACAACTCTGCATGTTCCTTAATATTTATTTGGAGTTTACCTTTCCATTAGCCTTCGCTTAGTAGTAATAAACAGCTGGAATTTTTAATGGCAGTTTGCTGCTTCTGCACTTGCTTCATTCCCCAAATCTCTGCCTCCTTAACCCTACCCACATTGGTCTCCTCCCTCCCCTAATCCTGAGATTAGCCTTGCTGCCATTCTTAGTACTTTTAAATATCAATTAAGTGGCCCATGAGAATATCAGAAACTCTTCAGTTTATTTGATAGCTTAAACAACTGAGGGTACATGATGCATGGGTGGGGGGAATTCCCACAATAGTGAATCCATTAGATCCATTAGATTCATGGTTAGAATGAATTCTAACCTAAAATTTTTACAACTTTACAATAATGGAACAAAGAGGAAGTATTTCTAATACTGTACACATTTTTTTTTTGCTACCAACTGTTCATAGTTACAAAGTTAGTTACTTTGAAAAAAAGAAAAGGTACAGCAGCTGTACAGCCCAGTGAGAAAATTAAACAGGCAATCACTATCACCGCTTACTCTTCCATTTAATCTATTCCACTGCTAAAGTACACTGTATACTTTGAATGCATTCTCTCAGATCATACAGAGGATTGAGAAGATCCTGAAAACCTGACCAACACATCTTAGGAACTAAGGAGATGCCTTCCCAGAATTGTTTTCAAACTGCAGATTTTCCACAGCAATTAAACGAACAAGTTTCCTTGATGTTAGAAAGTTTAGTATCATCTGCTAAAAGCTTTAACTCATTTTTTTTGTTTTGAACACTAATTACATATATTCTCCAGCCTAAACAATGAAGACCATTCTAAATACGTACAACAATAATCGAATGGTTGAATCTGCAAGATCATAATCTTAAGTGATAGAATCTAGTGTAAAACTCCAAATAAGTTTATGAATCAATGTTGAAATGAAAGACACTGGCACATTTCAGATTAAAAAATACACTCATCCACATACAAAGTCCAGCTCATTTGGCTGTGGGGGGGAAGGGGGGAATGAAAGGGGGGGAAAAACTTGTGTCTATAATCAAATCTATTGCTGAAATCATAGCCCTACTGAATTACCTTCTGGATAAACCAGGCTAAGGTAGTTGAGTAAGTACATATTCACTTTGTTGGAAGTATTTCAACCAGCATAGTGGGAGTAAAGTGAAGTGCTGTATTGTAAAAAGAAACACAAATGGCAATATAGAAAGACATATGAAAATAGTATGGTACACCTTTTGTTTTAACACAAAAAGAAAAAGGGACCAGAGTTTCCCTTTACCTAATAATGAGCAGTCAGCAAGTAACAAGGATGTATTCCAAGAACACCTTTATGGACATGATTGCCAAACATGATAGATGTTTTTGTAAAATCTTATGTCATGTAAATTAGTAGCATCAATTTAATTTGGTTCTGATACACTTTAAGGATAGTTGACTCCTCTAATCCAGAAAAGATCACAATGCAACGTTGCCAAGCTTTTTCTAACATTTGGGGGGGAGGGGTATGTTCATCTCCAAACATAAGACTTTGGGATTAAACGGACAACATGGCCTCTGCCACCACTCTTCCCTCCACTCTTAATGGTTCCAAAGGAATTAACTATTTGCATGTTCTATGCTGCTTAATTAGGGGAAAGAGAATAGAAAGTTTAATACTCTTTGCAAGTTATCTTCTGCAATTTTGAGAAAATAAACAGCAAGCCAAAATTACATTAAGTGGGGACAATGCATCTGTAAGGCCCACACTCATATCTTCCCAGATTACAGTTCAAAGAGTATGTCTTACCAGGCTGTTGCCGGATTAGCTCCACAATTCTTTTGCCTCCCCCTTAAGTCTTTAGAAGCATCCTCTCTTCCTCCCCACCCACCCCCATCCAATCTCTGGATTGACCGACTCCCCGAAGTAGGCGGGGCAGAGAATAGACCGCACTACCAACCACAAGTGATTGGCATAGCCGGGCAAGCCCCTCCAATCTAGTTACTTAGGAGGGGGGGGAATGGGAGGAGGAGAAAGATGAACTCCACCCTTATTTTATGATGCAATGTGGAAAAGACACAGAGAGCGAGTTCAGAGAAACAAAGTTTCTACGCCCCAAACCTTGGGGTTTTTTAGTGGAATGAAAGCCCACACAGCAAAGATTTGTGTAACCCGGGAAGAAGCACTGCTCTATTCAGGCATTTCCAAATGGTTCTATAAACTTCTAATCCTCCCCACCCAACCAGCGGCGCGCGTGCCAAATGGAGAGGAGAAAGGCGAAGGCGTGCTTATTAAACGCAAGGGAATTTACTTCCCAATAAAGACAGCTCGAACCGCCCAGCTTCCCAATCGCAGGCGAAAGGCCTCCCTGCTCCCGTTGCAAGCGAAGTACTGTAAAAAGACCTCCGTCTTTCTGCTAGCACCCCCGCTCTTCCACACGGGACGCGATCAAGGCGCCCTGTGCTCAGTTGCTAGCCCGCTTCTCAACCACACCAAAGAAACGGAAAGCGAGGCGCGACCGAACACTTTACCTCACTTCTCCAGGCAAGACTTACCTGCCAGGTCTCGTGCTCTCCTCCAGTGGCCCTTCTGTTCACCCTGTGGCCTCCCTTTCCCTCTGGGCGACGGAGAACTCGAGAGCGCTGTGCGCCCCCGCCCCCTCTTCCTTCCACACACTCTCTTCTGACCGCGCTGATCGGATCAAGTTTAGGGCGGACTAAGAACGTCAGTGCGAGAAGAAAGAGAACCGGGGCAGGCAAGGAGGAGATCCTCTTGCATCAGCACCCGGAACTTTCTTGGAGGCGAGGGAAGGCAAAAAAGAAACTCCTGGCGTCCACACGTATACAAAAACCCGCATACAAATAACCAAGCAAGCCCGGTAGGAGGAAGAAGAGAAGAAAGAGTCGGGGGGAGGAGTCTTCTTGCTCTTTCACGACTATGTATTTACGGTTGCTTATTGGCTTTCCTCCCCAAGGTTCCTTGTATTAACCCGGGACTACTTGCCCGCGCCACCGCCGCCGCCCGCTAGCACTTGCTTGGTTGCTCAGCTGACTCTTCCCAACCCAGCAGACGTCCCCCTCCCTCTCCCCCTTAACTGGGCCTTAAGCCCTCCCATCACCGCGCCTCCCGCTGTCTGCTTCACGCAGTCGCAAGCGATCGTTTCTCGGCCATGTATGCTTCGGGAGTCTCCCAGAGGCTGCTTCTAGGAGCCGGTAACTTTTTTCTGAGACAGAAGGGCTATCGCCGTATTCCCACGTAGCCAAGGAGCGTGTGCTCACACGCGCGCACTCCTCGGCCCCTAAAGTGTAGCCGGGCGCGTAAGACACGACAGGCTTTCCTGGTTAGGTTGGGCTGGCTTTGGAGTCTGAACTGAGCCGTACTTCGTTAAATAAATTTTCAGTGTTTTGCAGGCACATCTGGGAGTGAAGCCTTATTGTACGCGGCGGGAATCACTTCCCAATAAGCATATCTCAGAGTTTTGTATGCACTACTAGCAAATGTACTTAGAAGAGAATATGAGAGACTTCCTTCCAACCACACTTAAATAGTATTTAACTGCAGGCTGCATTGTTTCTCTGCTGAGCAAATTTTTGATGCAGCAGAACACCCAAAGCCTTGCTCCAACAGGAGATAGGACTCCGCCCTCCACATTCGTTGCCGACACATATGTAAAGGAGGGTCCCTAGCTCAACACTAAGGCCTCGATGCAATCTCCAGGTTAGGAACTGCTCCTGTCTGAAGTCATGGATAGCCACAGCTATTCATGTGGAGTGACAATACTAAAATATTAATTATATTTTCAGCTATCCAGTAACAAATGTTCTCTTAATGGAAAGATAATAAAATGCAGTGGAAGATGACAGCATGAAAAATAACATGGAAAATCAAAAAAATCTCATTCAAGTTGCCAGCTCAATATAATGCAGGTAATCTGAAAATTCAAATTAAACTAAATAATTGAGAAAAGGAAGTCTTGCCCGGATGTCAGAAAGGACAACCACATGGGACAATGGGTATGTCTGCCCAGATAGCACATTCAGAACTTACACCTCCCCAACTAAAAGAAATTAAATCATCTCTTGTAGCCACCTGCCAGTTCATTCAGTGCAGACCCCCAGAAAAAGGCCGTGAAGAAGACCTGCATGCACAGCCAGGTCCATACAGGAGAAGACATTCCTTTCTAGCCTGAAACAATCTCTGTAGGAACAGGACTACTTTAATAAGAAAGGCCAACTATGAAATCCAGTCTGGAAGGATTATGGTTGATAGTATTGAAAAGCCTCAGGGATCCATGAGAACCAACAGGGCTATAGTCCTCATATCTCTGTCCACAAGCATGGAAAGTGCTTTGATCACCTAATGGTTTATATAATAAAGCTTGCAGAAACCAGACTGACATAAGTCTAGAAAATAAAGTTCATCCAAAAATGCATAGAGGGTCAATAATCATTCACTTAAGATCTTACCTCAAAAGTGCATGTAAATATTCAGCCTATTGTGCTCCATTTCTGGGATTCCGTAACCTTTCTTTGGGACAAGAACAATCTGATTACTGTCTTTTTCAAGTGATGTTTATAATTCTCCAGTGAGGAATTTGTAATATGTACCTAACCAGCTATTAACATTAGATAACAGTTCCAAGACAAGTGATAATTTAATGTTACAGTTATGTTGTTTTAGTTTTACAAACTGTTTTTATTGATGCTGTCCACTACGGATCTATGTACATCACATTATATCGAATGAATGAATGAATGAAGGCAGTCAGAATCATCTGAGAACCTTGTCCAGATCCCTTGAGCCTCAACAACTGGAATTAATCCAATAAAACTGAACCAACTGGTAGTCAAGCCCAAAACATTAATGATTCTAGATTAACCGTGAAGTCCAGTGCAAGCAAATACCCAAATACCAATACAAGGACATTTTCCATTATAGTATTTTGCTAATTTGTTGTAGCCAGTTGTCAGAAGTATGATCAGTTCCCTTTCAAGGTGAAAGCACAATAACCTATGTCACTGTGTGTGAATTGGGTGGCCATATAATTTTTTTAAATAAATAAAATTAACCTCTTTACTACCTAGAATACTATGAAGGTACAATGAAGGTAAAAAGTAACTCATTTTTTGTCACCTCAACCTCCACAGAATAAGCTTAATAATAAATTCTCATCTGTATTTGATTCAGCACAAGTTTATAGGGCCTAATATTCAAGTCTTTCAAGATCCTTTTGAATTTTGAGTCTGTGTCTTCTGAGTTGTTGGCAATCCCCCCCTCCCCCAGCTTTGCATCATCTGTAAATTTTATGAGCATTACTGGTATTCCCTCTCCCTCTTTTTCCCTTCTTTTTCTTCCCTTTACTAGGTAGAAGGACCCACAGCATTGCTTTTGCCTTTAACTACTTAAAATGTATATGTGTTGTAGAGCAACAGTGCAGTCAAGTCAACCATTTTCATTTCTTCAGATAACTTTTAGGAGAGGAGAAGTGATGTTAAATGTGCAAGTTCCTCAGCTTTTGTCCAGTGATTCATCCCTAGCAGCATCACTGCCAAGTTTAAACAATATAACTGACTGACTTGATATGATAAGGATCATAAAATCATATCTTCCTGTGTCAAAAATACAGAATGCGTTCCATTGCATATTCTTGTTCCCTATCCGCCAAAACTGGGGGTGAAGTGGAGGAACAGTTTTTGAATGCCAGGAGCAGGGAAGTTCCACATGAACAAGCAATGGCTGACAGAATATTGGATGAACCTTCATTGAAGCAGGCAATTGCAGATAAGGCCACTGGTTTAGGTTGTTACATAGGGACCAAAAAACCTTTGAGTCCAACTTTTCAGACTGGTGAATAGGAGGCAAAAACATATTGGAGTGCTACACCAAATCCCCCACCACAAACTTCTTCTTGCCTATGTGTATCTTCAGTATGCTTGTTTACAGCCTTGGCCAAATTTAGTTGTTCTTTTAAGAGGAGCTTAACAGCCTGTCTCTCCTGTAGAAAGTCCAAGGTGCAATGAAAAGTGGACCATAGCAAGATTCAGGGCTGATAGCCATATTGCCTGAAAGAAAGACATTCCTTTGGATGAATGTACTGAGTCGTTATAGAAAAAATTTCAGAAGAGGCAACAGTTCAATCCAATTACCCTGATGAAAAGAGACATAGCACCTCACGTATTGTTCAAATAATTGATTCGCTTTTTCCAATTACATCAAATAATGCAAACACACACACACACTTTCATCTATATTAAAAAAAGGATGGTTCTCTAACCTTACAAAAACTATGGCAAAGAAGAACATATTGAGATATTTTCTCATTAGTGCATAAAATTGGCTTTCAAAAACAGATAAATTACACATCTCTTGAATCCATTCCTTAATATCAGGAGAATTTATTGTTTTTCCAGTTTCTCTCAATAATTCTCTTAGCAACACCCAGGCTGATATACAGGTAGTCCTCACTTAACAACCATTTCTTCAGCGACCAAAATTACAACAGCACTGAAAAAATGGACTTATGACCTATGCCTGAAGATATGGCCATTGCAGTGCCCCTGCAGTCACTTGTTCAAAATTGAGGCACTTGGCAGCCCGCCCACACTTACAACCTCAGGGGTGCTGCAACTCCCCCCACCTGCCTATCTCACCCTCCATTTGTGCCCTTTTGCAACCCTGAACAGCAATACTCGGCACTGGCAGGGCTGGGGCTGGGGCTGGGGCTGAAGTAGAGTCCCAAGGCCTTCAGCAGTTTCAACCAGCTGCCACCATTCCCAGGCCTCAACTTCAGCTCCAGTGCCACCACTGCCACTGAGAAATGCTGCCTGAAGCCCCACACTGCTGGTCTTCACCACCTTGCGCCGTTCTCCAAGCTGTGCCTCTCATTCCTTTCCCAAGCCAGTGTCCCATTCCTTCCCCAAGCCGTACATCCCATACCTTCCCCAAGCTGGCGTCCCATTCCCCAAGCCGGCATCCCATTCCTTTCCCAAGCCATGCCTCTTGTTCCTTCCCCAAACCAGCACCCCTCATTCTTTCTGCAAGCTGCACATCCCATGCCTTCTGCAAGCCAGCATCCCGTTCTCGTGATCCTTCAGAAACCTTCTGGTTTCTTGTGCAGAGAAGAAGTTCTGACAGGAAATACAATAACTAATATGATGTATAGATTCTTGACAGGTGATTGGTCCTGCAGCCCATTTATTACTGACCATCTGGAGGCCTGCTCTGAGAAATATCCTTACTATCTGGCAGATGCTCAGATCCGCTCACAGTTGAATTCTAACTGGGCAAGGCAAGACTCTCACTTATCTAGAGTGAGTTTGATTTCGTGACTCCCAAGAAACTGGACAGAATTCTCCAGTCTGTTAGCTCAGCCACCTGCTTGTTTGATCCAGGTCTCTCTTGGATGGTTAAAGCCACCTAGGAACTGACCAGTGGTTGCATCCAAGAGATGGCATCAACTTCTTTGAGTGAGGAGGTGGTATCCACAGTCTTGAAGGAGGCTATGCTGACTTCCTTCTTGCAGATAATCTCTTTTATGTAACATAATGTTCTGAAGTTTTGTTACCTAGATTCAAGACTGCACCAGGGGATTTACAATGAAAAATAAACTTGAATGCTCCATGTGCTTATGTATTGTTGGGTTTCTTTGGTCATGTCCTTATCTTGTCTGTTTTTCAGTATTTATTTGTTAACCAATGGCTGTAATGACTAGAACTTCACCAAATGGAATAGCAATACCACAAGATCTAAGTGGGAACAAAGTACCTCTTCCTTCTAAAAAACCCACAATATAATAAGAGTATTTAATTTGTAAAAACAGGAGAAAAATGTGTTGCTGCTGTATAAAGAGAGGGGAGATGGGCTTTGGACCTGCAAATGGGAAATCTGGCATTTCTGGGAGCCAAATATGGTGGCGTCTCTGTCCCAGTGAAAAGGTGTGTGACGAATCTGAAGCCAATCCATCCATAGTACCATAGGGACATGCAAAGAAGAAATTAAATAGAATTGCAGTGTTAGCAAAGAAATGCCTTCAGAGTGCAGAGGTCTGCTAC